CTGTTACCCCTCGACATTATAACTGGTCAGCCTCTACTGGGCGCAGACACCACTGGTAAAACACACAGATATACACGGTAAAAAAATATTTAAAAAGAGTTTGTTGTTTAGCATCTTTACAACTAAATGTATTTTTATTCCTGCAGCAGACGAGCATCGGTTTTCCGTGTCGGAGCTGCTGAAGAGTAAAACCTCCTGCATCTCTGTGATCTGTGTCTGTCTGACAAACACACCACAGATCACACTCACGGTGAGGCTGTCAGGACTACAGAAAGCAGAGGAGAGGAAGTAGACTGTAGTTTTTATGTCAAGCAGAATTAACATCTCTCTCTGTTTCCCCTCAGCCTCCAGAGGACCTCCCCTGTCCTCCAGCTGCAATTGTCACTGCAGTTCTGTCATTGTTAAGGATCTGCAGCGGCGTCTCCTCCTCCTCCTCCTCCTCATCCACTGGTTGTAGTGAGGTCTGCAGGAATGTAATCGGCAGTGGCAAAGTTCAGAAATGTGCTTTAGAGGCTCTGGCAGCTCTTAGCAGCAGCTCAGGTAAATATGTTTGTATATATGTGGGATGATCCAAAATATTCTCTTTCCTTTTTTATCACTTTACCTTCAGCTTGATGGAAAGCTATATTGGAAAGATAACCACGTTACCAACATAATTTAAATGAATTAGGAAATCTAACATGAGGTATGACATTATAAAGGTCTACTGTATATTAATCAAACTCAAGTAAATACTGTAAACATACAGCAGAACAGTACAGTACAGTATATTTATTAAAAATAGAACAAAATATAAGAAAGTAAGATAAAATATCATTAAAAACAGACCTGAAAACAAAATGCTGCAGCATATGAGCATCATGATATATGTGTTGTGTGTGACAAAGTGTTTTTCAGGGTGAGATATTTAGCATGTGTCCTCCATCTCGTGTGTTTCAGGAGCGAAGGAGGAGATCAGTGAAGTGTTCACAGTTCTGATACAATATCTGGACACTCCTGATTCTGACCCGACTGTAAGTTGTGTGTGTTCCTGTCTATGCATACGACTTATATTTTATGTAGTCACTGACCTTCTACTACAGAGGAGAGATGCTATCACACATTGATTGTCTTAACCTGCATGTTTAAACAGATCTGAGGAATACATTAAAAAAACATTTTGAGAAAAGTTAAAATTTAAGAAATAAAGTAGTAAGTAATAATATTTCAGTTATGTAACTTTTAATTGTAGTTTCAAATCTACTCCACACAGTGTAATGATGATGTTTTCACTTCCATACTGATACACACATTCTATATGTGAAGGAAACAGCAGTGTGATTTTAACTAAAGATCCACTTACTACTACTACTAATTGAATATCTTTATCTTTACTCTGGGTTGTAAGAAACTGTCGTGTGGTATTGTTTCAATATTTCAGAGGCATAAATGATTATTGAAGAAAATAATCAGCTG